CACTGGTGAGGCTGCACCTCGAGTCTGGTGTTCAGTGTTGGGGCCCTCACTACGAGGAAGACCTTGAGGTGCTGGAGTGTGTCCAGAGAAGGGCAAGGAAGCTGGTGAAGGGGCTGGAGCACAAGTCTGATGAGGAGTGGCTGAGGGAGCTGGGGTTGTTTAATCTGGAGAAAAGTGAGAGAGGGGAGACCTTATCACAAGCAAAAGGACAAGAGGAAACAGCCTCAAGTTGCACCAGGGGAGGTTTAGGTTAAATATTAGGAAAAAATTATTCACTGAAAGTGTTGTCAAGCATTGGAACAGGCTGCCCAGGGACGTGGAGGAGTCACCATGCCTGGAGGTATTTAAAAGTCATGTAGATGTGGTGCTTGGGGATATGGTTTAGTGGTGGACTTGGCAGTGTCAGGTTAATGGTTGGACTTGATGATTTTAAAGGTTTTTTCCAACCTAAACTATTCTGTGATTCTATTCTATGGATAACATAACTCAATTGCACATATCAAACTATAAATACCGAAAATATGTTCAGTAATCAAGAGATGCAAAACATTAATCCCATACACAGACACACATACTGCTCAACATGAATATCTGGAAAAACTAATTTATTTTATCTTTACAGTTAATGGTGCTGAAACTACAAATCACCAAGTTAAAGCATAAAAGACAGCACTAATATACATGTAAAAAAAAAAAAGATAAGAGTTAAGCACAGCAAATTAAACTGCTTTTAAAGAAAATACCTTGTTTGATGTGAAGTGGATGCAGGACACCAACATTGTGTGGGGGAAAGATATAGAGTAGCTGATTTGTGAAATAAGCGGCCATGAATCGTGCCATGGATCGAATCACAGCCATAGCGGTTTCAGTATGAACATCTGTTACCATCCATAGTTCATGCTGAAAATACTTGGTATCTGAAAAAAGTAAAATTAAAACATTGTGAGGAAAATTATTTTAAATTGGAATGCTAAAAATTTTTTAATCACAGCTTATTAAAACACTTTTTTAAAACAAGCAAACTATGGTATTACTTAATTTCTTGACAAACTTCCAGGACTTACAAAGCTTAATCTTTTACACTAATTACACATTACTTTAACATTAAAAGGATTTTATACTAGGTTTTTAATGATTAAGACGGACCTCTAGTATCTAAATACAGATCAGCACCGAGTCAAAAAAAAAAAAATCTGTTTAAATTCTGAAAATTTAGATTTTACACTCTGACTTAATAGAAAAATGTAACAAGTATCTGCAAAAAAATCCCACTTTCAATTTAGGACTGGTGATCAATCTAAAATCCACTCTTTTATCATGCTGTATCATAAAAAAAATGTTAAATCAATGTAAAATGAAATTATATTATTTCCCCCTTATTTTTCTTATCCAAAGTCTTTCCTTGAGCAGAATTGAATTTAGAAACATTAAACAGGCCATACTTTCACTATTAATCATACAATCTAAGTTATTTAAACAATCTAACAAGTGCAGCTGAAAGAACATCTGAGGATCAGAACAAGATCTTTAAAGTCACTGAAAAGAGACTTCAGTCCAGCATAAAGAGAAAAGCATGCTCTCAAGTGAGTGTGTGTGATGGCACAGAAATTAGATATTACATTATTCAAACAGTATCAACATACCTTATCACACTTCTATGCAATATAAACATACCAGAAAATTTTTCCTTCTGTCTCACTGAGAGCTGTGATCGCCTTAGAATCTCTCCTACTAGATGATCACAGAGTCCCTGAGCCTCACACAAGTTATAATTATACAGGTGGCAAAATAATATTGCAAGATAATATCTACTCTGAAGAAAACAGCTTCTTTTTCCTCCTGCATTATAAGAGAAAAAAAGGGCAGAAGTCCAGTTGGAAAAGAAACCATAAACACAAAAGCAGACACAGCATGTTCCTCCCTCCCCAGAAACATATCTGCATAAACATATACTCTGAGAAGGAGAATTCAGGATAAGCTATTTTAGGAGATATGATCCTCCTACAAACTCTAAGTTATTAGTGAGTTAATGCTCATCCACAACAGTTCTACTTCTAGAGATCTGGCAGTTTTCAAAACAATACAGTGCATAATTGTTAAGACACAAAGATAGGGGGGCTTGAGCCAGGGAGCCTGGCCTTCAAAGAAGGGATGCCTAAACCACGATGAAATTGCTTGTGCATCCACCAAACTTCCAACATCCAGAATTCTTTCTGCATAAGATACTCCTCATCACAATAACCATCAAATTTTTTCTCATGATGCCTGGGAAGAGACTCTGGAATATCTGTTTCAATTCAACACCTAAATAAACCCCTGACACAAGTTATTTTGTTCTGTTACTCCTGAAACACTAAGTCTTTTGATTTTAGAGCTACTAAAGGAATTGGTTTTTGTTAATCTGTTTTTCATTGTCTCTTTCTTGCTCACAAATGGACCTAGAGCTTTCCTGTACCAAGTACTTCATAATCACAAGAAAATTCTGATATTAAAATAAAAATGCATGGAATTTTCTCAGGGAGCAATCAGACTTAAGCTTTGGCTGGTCTCTATTCAAATCCTAGCTTAACTTCAAATACATAACCTTTATGTGCCTTGCTCCCTTTTCTGAAGGGCAAACAGAGAGTGACAAATAACTCCATGAAGTGATCATTCAACTTACCACCTCGACACCCCCTAAAGACTTTATCACTCACCTTTTGCCTTGATTTCACAAAGAGATCTTTTCCAAATGTCCACAGATTCTCTGTATGAGCCTAAAAGGAACTTCTCCTCACCTATAAAAGTCACATATATAACAAATTAAAAGCTCTACATAGTTAGTTTTACATGCACAAATGCACATGCACTTGCTTCAGTATTAGAGATTTATAAAGGCAGAGTAAAATACGTGAGTTTCCAGCAAACTTCTGTTGTCAGAGCTCAATCTAAGTTTTGAGCATCTGTGAAAAGATGACTTTGAATACCTCTTCCCACCTTTATTTTTAATTGATAAATCACTATTAAATTAAAAATTCAATTCATATTATAATACAATCTACAGGTGTACTGGGACATGATTGTTTAAAAGACTTCTGATCTGAATTTTAAGAAAAGTCCCACTATCAACTTTTTTAAAATCTGGTGGTCAGTGATTGTCATTAAGTTTGACCTAATTTTCCTAGTATATAGTTAACCATACAACTACCTAATATTTGTAGTTTTTTCCAGAGTACTAACCAGATACAGAATTAATCTTCAAGTGTTGTTCTAAGGTCACTCCTGAAGACTGGAGGGTCGCTTGTATATGACTTAAAAGCGATGAGACGACAGACTCTTCTTCTGCAGTCGTGTTCACTTTTCTGTTCAGCTGCATCCGATACCAAACCACTTTCTTATACAACAATCGCCATAGTACAATCAGCCTGTGGTTCAAGAAGTTTATTATGAAAATCACCAAAAGTTAACAAAGGTACTTACATTGATTTCTTACTTTCTTTTACTTTGCATTATGTATCTGAAAACTAAATTATATTTTATGTTAACAACTACTCTTCTTGAATTAAATGATGGAAAAAAAAATTAAACACTTTCTGCCTTGTTTATGTTTTTTTGACCAACAAACATTGATTCTTCTGAATTTGCATAAGCACAGCAATCTCCTTCAAGCACCCAAATGTACCTAAAATGAATGCCTTGCTATCTAAACAATGCAGAAATGAAATAACCTAGATAAATCTCAAAGTAGGTATCAGTGTCTTTACAAACAAGACTGATTAAAAATACAACAAAAGCATAACACAGAAAAGCAAAGACAGGGAAATGAGACTGCAGACGATGCTTTTAGGGCTGGCAAGTCCCTGCTGTCCAGCAGAGTGCTGTTACATGTACCAGCTCAGATAAGTAATAAGCTTGCTGATACAAGCAAATATATATTGCCAGGGACTTGAAAAAGCTTGCAGAGAACCACAACACATCTGCACCTTCTTCTCTAGCACTGTTGCTTCTAACATACATACAGAGTCAGTCAGGCACAGTGCTCAGTACATGGAGCATAATTAATCAAAAATGTGGATTATCTTCTCAGAGACAAGTGAAATTTACCTACCAAATTTGCAATGAACACAGTGTTATATTTTAAGCTTACTGAAGAAATACATTTTTGTATAATAAGATTAAATTTGTAAGTTACAATGCTTCTTAGGTTCTAAATCTCTGGAAAGGAACATCTTGCTCATATGATTAACACACTTGGATTTATTTGAGTTCTACAGTACAGAAACACTCCAGTGATAATAATATACTTTCCCAAGAGCTGGATAGCATACTTCAGTTTAAGCTTCTTTCAAGTTTACGTGTATATCTTCAAAGAAGAAATAGCTCTGACAGTTCAATAAGTTTCCCCATACTGGGGTTTTCTCATTGCTCCCGGACACTACATCCATAATCAAGTGCAACCTTTGCTGACTAAATTGACATTGTAGATCTATTGCATATGAGCAGTCTCTTGGCTCCACAGAGATTGGAACCTCTGCAAAGGAAGGAGGAGAATGGGCAAGATGCAGTAAAAAGCCTCTTAAACTGCAACACCAGGATTAATGCTGGACTAGCAGATCTGGTGTGAGCTGTTAACCCAGCAATTAACTCCAAACTGACTGGTAGTATGTACTTAAGTCACTGCAACTGAACTATATTCAACTATAGGTCTGAGCCCTAATCTGGATGCTTCAACAGATTATCATGCTTTTCCATAGACCATGACACAGAAAAGAAACAAAGGATGTTGTAATTCCTGTATAACTGAAAAATAAAATTGCTGTTCCAACATACAGAATCACAGAACCACTCTGGTTGGAAAAGACCTTTAAAAGCATCAAGTCCAACCATTAACCTGACACTGCCAAGTCCACCACTAAACCATATCCCCAAGCACCACATCTACACATCTTTTAAATACCTCCAGGCATGGTGACTCCTCCACGTCCCTGGGCAGCCTGTTCCAATGCTTGACAACCCTTTCAGTAGAGAATTTTTTCTTAATATCCAACCTAAACCTCCCCTGGTGCAACTTAAGGCTGTTTCCTCTTGTCCTTTTGCTTGTTCCTTGGGAAAAGAGACCAACACCCACCTCACTACAACCTCCTTCCAGGTAGTTGTAGACAGTGATAAGGTCTACCCTCAGCCTCCTTTTCTCCAGATTAAACAACCCCAGCTCCCTCAGCCACTCCTCATAAAATTTGTGCTTCAGACCCTTCACCAGCTTTATTGCCCTTCTCTGGACATGAGCAGTTCCTCAAGGTCTTTCTTGTAATGAGGGGCCCAAAACTAAACACAGGACTCGTGTTTAGTTAGGCTAAACTCGGGGCCTCACCAGTGCCCAGTACAGGGGCACAATCACTTCCCTGGTCCTGCTGGCCACACTATTTCTGATACAGGCCAGGATGCCATTGGCCCTCTTGGCCACCTTGGCACACTGCTGGCTAATGTTCAGATGACTCTCAACCAACACCCCCAGGTCCTTTTCCACCAGGCAGCTTTCCAGCCACTCCTCCCCAAGCCTGTAGTGTTGAATGAGGTTGTTGTGACCCAAGTGCAGGACCCAGCACTTGGCCTTGTTGAACCTCGTATAATGGGCCTCAGCCCATTGATCCAGCCAGATCCCTCTGTAGAACCTTCCTACCCTCCAGCAGATCAACACTCTTACCCAACTTGGTGTTGTCTGCAAACTTACTGAGGGTGCAATTGTCCAGATTGTTGCCACAGATATTAAACAGAAGTAGCCCCAATAAGGACACCTGGGGAACACCACTTGTGACCAGCCACCAACTGGATTTAACACCATTCTCCACAACTCTTTGAGCCTGGCCATCCAGCCAGTGTTTTACCCAGCGAAGGGTGCACCCATCCAAGCTGCAAGCGCCCAGTTTCTGCAGGAGAATGCTGTGGGAAATAGTGTCAAAGGCTTTTCTGAAGTCCATGTAAACAACCACAGCCTTTCCCTCATCCACTAAGCAGGTCACCTTGTCCTAGCAGGAGATGAAGGTTATTCAAGCAGGTCCTGCCTTTCACAAACCCATCCTGACTAGGCCTAATCGCCTGGTTGTCCAGTATATTTCTTTTTCCCCATGCAAAGGTCATTCATACCTTTTTTCTGTTTTTGCATCATGGTTTACTGGTTGAGGAGGTTGCCTAAGCAGAGACTTCAGTGAGTTGAACTGCTGACTAGTACTCTCATCAAGAAGTAGGAAAATAGGTACAGTGAAGGCGTCAAGTTCCATGAGACTATTACCATGAGGAGATGGAAAAAAATTCTCATACTTTAGTATGCACATGGTACTTAAAGTGTGAGAAACCATCTTCAAAAGACAGAAGCATGCTAAAAGGTTTTTCGAGAACAACTGATCTTGTTGCTGTAAAAGCATCAGTTTTAAAGTTTGTAATGTCAGCTTTGCCACGTGCCCAGTCAGACTGGCTCTTGAATGCCAGTACAAGACAGTTAAACACTGCTGAAAATATTTTAGTACCCAATGCATCCAATGAGTATTCCTCACAGACTTGTTTAAAGATGCATCCTGGTTTAGCAAAGAACATCTCACAAACTGAAGAGTGTTGAAATAATGGATAATACAGTTCACTGTGTAATTCAGCAATGTAGCTTTCTCTTCCACATTTTTTGAAATTCCTATCTGCCATGCAGCAAGGAGGTTTTTCTGAATAGAACATAGTTCCACTGATAATTTATCTTTCTCTTCAGTATTGTCTTTTGCATGAATAGTATCAAACATTGAAGCAAATTCTAAGTGGCCTTGGTCAGCTTTACCAACAAATGAATGGATTCTTTGGCTATAGAAGCTGGAAGGGCTATTGCAAAATTGCTTTTCATCATCTGATTCTTCTTCATAATCCTAAAAAAAAAAAAAAAAAAAAGCTAAAATCAACAGTTTAATTCAAGTCTATTGAGGGAGAGCACAGTCTGCAAGGAATCACCATTTAGTCAGTCTCACAAATTAAATCTTTATGCTTAATTAACTTGCTTAATTCTTAATAAGTTTAATTCACATCAGTTTCATCTAGATCTCAAACAAAATGTGGAATAGTTGTGCAGACAGAATAGATAGAATTACCTAACAACAACCAAAAAATTGCACTGTAAACAAGAAGTAGTTTTTATACCAGAAAATGAAACCCTGTCCTATATTAAGCCCAGAGTATGAGGAAGAGTTTTTGCCAGATACCTGTCAGATATAAAAACCATTCAACAAAAGCTTAAAAACTTCAAAGAACAAATCAAACCCAAAGAGTATGAAATGGAGTTGGGAAAGGCTGCACATAACTTTGATCATACAGCCACTCTTCCAAAAGACTGGTACACATTCAGGAACTGATGGGAGAATCCTCTAAAACTGAGGGTACCTATCTTCTTTACTGAGGATAGTAATATTGTATTTCTTATTAATATGCTTTACAGCCACAGTGTATTTAGTACTGTAATGTTACTTTTTATTATGATGTGAAGTGAAAGTATTAAAGCATAATAAACTGATGTATACATAGATTAGTATGTATTTTTCAAAAAGTTAATGCACAGCTGAAAGAAATAAGATGCTTAAAAATAAAAATAAAGTATCAGTTGAGAAAAATAAACAAATTTTTCACACCTATACAGAAAATTTAACCAATATTGAATTAGTTAGTATTACTTACTGAATTACTTGTAAGAGCAAATACACCTCTATTACTTGAAAAAAAAAAAAAAAATTATTTACATTTAGAATACATTAAAATTAAATTATTTGCATAAATATAAGTGGAAAAAATGCTATCAAGTACCAGTAAATCCATGGTTTTCTCACTCATATCTGTTGTGTCCTCTTCCAGGAACTTTGGAATGGTGGAAAAGATGGAACTTTGGTTTTGAGCGTGCTTTAAAAGACTAGCTTTTAAGGACAACAGTGACCGTAAGCACGGAGGTCTCCCTTTAGACTAAAAGAAATAACAATAATGCAAAATGTATTATCTGTCTCCAGCAAGATCAAACCTGACAGTTTCTAAACAAAACAAGGCAAGTGTTCCCTTCTGTAAAAAGCTTCAGTTTAAAAGTCCCAGACAGAAAGGGAGAACGGGTCAGCAGGTGTATGTTGCATAAGAAGAAACTATCATTTGACCGTGCTTCAGGAATGCAGAATTTCCTCAGCACCAGACAACTTTGCTTTGTGCTGGAAGAATCTTTCTTGATCCCTCAAATGATCTTACAAGTTTGCCAGAACGTAGGGCTTTCTTGCATTCTTACTTGTGACTTAAACTTATCTCTTTACATCCTCAAATCCTTGCCCACTCTTCTAGCTTATCCATGAACACCATCATAACTCACTTCTTCAAAAGTCCAAAATACAAACTGAATTGGAAGAGAATTTGTTTGCTTATCAGCAAACACAAAAATTCTGAACTTAGTATCTATTATATCTTATGTGATTCGCAACAGTTGCAGGACCTCTTCTTTCAAAGGTTTTCCTTCTGCCAGACTTAGCGCAATTTAGAAGTGACAGGAAAATAAGCAAATGCTTTAAACGAGCTTTAATCGACAACCTCAACCGAGCACCCAGGGGGGACACACACAGAGCATCATCAAGACAGTTGCTTACTGCTCTAAAACAGCAGCAGCCTAAGATAGAGAAGTTTCATAGAATCCTTTCTGCATCATTCTGAAAGGAAGAGTTGGTCAGAGCAGCATAATACTTGTCAATGCTCTGAACCAGCTCTACAGACATAAAAATCCTGACTTCTTTTACAGTTCTAGAAAGAATATAATGACAGTTAGGACCATCCCCTTTATTACATTTTATTGAAATGTCACCCAGACATCAAAGGAATAAAATTTTGGAGAAAACTCTGTATTCATTGTTTTTCAGATCAACACTATTCCCAAAACAACATTTTAACTCAAAGGAATTTATATAAATATCACACTAAACTAAATTGAGGTACGCAGTTTAAAAATAATGCATATTTATATATATCTATATACTAATATCTATATATATATGAAGTTTTTTACTTAAAGCCTACAAAATAATTCATAAACCTACCTTGGAGCACAACAAATTCTGACGGATATTTTCAAGCCTTTGGGTTGAATCAAGCAAAAGCGATCTTACAAATCCTGATGGTGAAAAGTTGACAGGAAATCTCAGCACTGTTATCATGTATCCATCAGAGACAATGAGGTAGGGTAATCTTGAATGCGAAGCAACAGAGAATCTTTGTCTCATAAGGTCACTTTCAGAAGCTGAAGAACCAAGAGACTGACTAGTGTCTTGACAAAAAGAGTGCTGCTGTCTAAAATAAAGATACATCAAAATACAAGAAGCAACTATTATATGTAATAATCATGAACACAACAGAGAAGAAATAATTTACAAACATTTAATATCACTCACACTACTGTCCCAATAGGCCCATTCAGAATTCTAAGGAAGTGTCTAAATTTTTACTGCATGAGCACTCTGAATAACACTATTTATGCTCGCAAGATACCAGGATTCTGCTGCAGTTGCAATTTTTTTAATTTAAAGAAAAATAAAAGCAGCTTTCAGTATTCTTATTATTTCACTAATGAGTATTATATGTATTTTTTCATAATTTGACTTTAAATTTCTATCACACTTTCTTATCTAGCTCTTATTGTGTATGACAAAAGTTTGAAGATTAAATTCTAAATAGCTTTTAATAAAGTAATGTATGAAAAACAAAAAATCCCTCAAGATCTGAATCTTCATATTTCAGAATCAGTTCAGACATTCAGCAGAAATATTTTATATCAAAACACAAGTCTTCTCTTACAAAAGTGGGCTCAAAGTGTTTTCTTATAAATAAATTAATCCTCACTGAGTTCCAGAAAGCTAAGTTGTGCATGTATTCTAATATTAGCCCATAATACTTTGAAATATTGTGAAAAATTACTGTGTCACCATTTTATTTCTTAATAGTTCAAAAGTTAGTAGATTATCTGAAAACAAAGTAGCTGCACACATTCAATAAATAGTCACAACTGAGGTATTTTAATATATTTCAGTATCTGATTTTTCAACCAGTGTAAGAAGGTATTACAATGCTTTGAATGTTTTAATGACATTTATGCACTATCCTACTTTCATCACTCAGAATTACTAAGATTTTTTTTCAAATTAAAGCTTAGATTCTATTTTGTTTCTTCTAGTTATTCAGACTATGTTACTCTTGTAATTTTCTATTTACACTGAAAAGTGTTATCAGAGATCCTTCTGTTCCCCTACGCACTCAATTTATGTCTGGATTACCTGAAAAAAAAAAAAAAACCCCAACATTTAAAGAGCTAACCAGTTTTTTTCCATGCAGATATGCTATTTACAAGACCTGATATGGAAACGTGATATTCAGTTCTACAGGTAAAATTAAATAGTGAGCACAGAAATACCATTGCATTAAAATAAATCTGCACTTTTAGTACTTCTGCAAGTCTAATTTCTCCTCACATCATAAAAACATGGTATTTTTAATTACTACTAAATTCAATTTTAAAAAAACAAATTATGTATACTTACATTGTCACAATGCCAATTTTCATCACGAGAAACCCATTATAAGAAATAGAAGAGAACTATGAATGAGAAACAGATATTGACAAGACACATGAAAAGCAGAAGAGTGAATGTGAAAGATGAAGTTTAAGCAAAATTGTAAAAAATATGATAGAAAGTAAGATACAATCATATGACAAAAACATATAAAGAATTTCAAACCCCTTTTACCTGTATGTTATTAGTGGATGAAATGGAATAAATTCTGCTGGTCCGAATTCTACAGAGCAGCCAGAAGTAATCAAGGTCAGCAATTCACCCATACACGTCAATAAAATCAAAGATCCACGTTTTAACATGCAAGCCAAGAAAAGGCTATCAGGAGTCCAACTCATATCACCAACCCAGTAAGACCTAAATGGAGCAGGAAAAAATATTTTTTCTGTCAAATATCTGTATCAAAAGGTTAGGACAGTTAAAAAAACCCACCTGAAAACCACAAAACCAACAACAAAAAAACCCCACAACACAAAACAAAAACAGCAGCAGAAACAGCATTAATTACTGACCTGATAAAATTGGATGGGACCGTGCTATTCTTGCTGCTACAACCTTTGAGGCTACCCGAAACAGTTACAAAATTCAATGTGTTTAAAAACAAAATCTGAGTTGCCTAGAAGGAAAAAGTAAATGTGAAGAAAACCTAAGTGTTTGTATCAAAATGTTATTACTGTAAAAAAGAATTTCTATTAGCAAGTTATGCACTACATTTGACATTTGACGTACTGGGAACATTATTATACATGAAAGTGACATTGCACTTCAGTATTTATATTCATTTGGCAGCATGTCACCTAACAGATAAAGCATTACCATTAAAAAATGAACTAAACCATAGTAAGCAATGAAACTGAACGATAGTTGGCATAAAGAAATTATGAGTAATATGGCTGAGAAATTAGAGTATTTATTAATTTCTATGCTTATTTCTAAATTTTAAAAATAATTAAGATTATTATATAGTTTAATATATAATTTTATATTCTTTTAAACATAACTTGTTCTAAAGCCCTCAAAACAACGTAAGATCACACCTCTCCAGTCCTGTTGGCAAATAACAACTGGAGCTTTGAAGGGTTGCATCATCCCATCCCGGGACACTAAATAAGCCGGCTCAGATTCCCTGACATCATTAGCACTAAAAACTACATTAAGATTTAGCCTCTGAGCTGTTAGAAGGAATAACATCATGAAGTGGAAACAGAAACTCCAGTCCATGTTAGGCTGAGGCCTGACTGAGAATCATACAGAATCTTTGTAGATACAATGCAGTAACTGAAATCAATTTATTCATTATTGTATTGCTGGGAGATTGGAAATGACAGGGGAGCTTACACAGGTTTTTAACTGAACACCACCATTCAAAAAAATTACAGGTTGTGTCAGAATTTTTTAGCTATGGATATCAATGTGAGTATAATCACATGTATCATTAAGAATGCTGAAAAATCACTCCTAAAAATGTGCTATTAAATCCTTGTTACCACTTCATCCAAACTGAACTATTAGCTTACATGACGTCCAGTCTATTATTCGTACCTTTGGATCAGTCTGATTAACAACTACTGCAAGTAGAAGTCCATCTCTTGCAAATGCACACAGCAAAGCTCCTCTTGACTTCACAGACACACACTGAGGAACCAAATCAACAAGAGAACAAGTCTGCTGTACCCAGTGCATCTGGTATGGCAAAGAACTGAATACCAAAAAAAAAAAAAAAAAAGACAACACCACCAAGAGGTTACTCCACTGTGCTGAATGGGGTGATTCATATATAGTAAAAACCATGCAAAACAAAAACACATAAAACATGAACAATTAAAAAAAAATTTCTTCAAAAACCTTAGAAATGAAAAGTATTTTGTATTTACATGAGTTTAAAAATTATTTCTGAGCACTGAGAATTATTTTTATGGGACAAGAATTTGGGCTATTCATGTAGAACATGAAAATAAACATAGATGCATGCCATGTAATACAGGCACTTGCATTCTAGCCAGAAACAGCTTCCTCAGACAGTGTAACAGGAATACTCAATTTAAAAATGAGAATCACCTGTGTGCTGCCCTGAACAAAGAAGTTGTGGATGCCCCACCACTGGAAGGGTTCAAAGGGAGGTTGGATTGGGCTTCCAGCAACTTGATCAACTGAAATTTGTTCCTGCCCCTGGCAGGGGGGGTTGAACTATGTGATATTTAAAGTCCCTTCCAACCCAAACCATTCTATCATCTTAAAAAGACTCAGAACATGATAGAAATCACAAGAAATACTTCATTTGGAAGCATGTCACCTAACAGATAAAGCACTAACATCAAAAAATGAACTAAACCGTAGTAAGCAATGAAACTGAACGATAGTTTGGCATAAAGAAATTATGAGTAATATGGCTGAGAAATGTGGTTAAAATTTCAGGCTGTAAGTACTACAGTACATATATGCACTTCTACCTTGGGAATGTTATGCTCTATTTCTTTTTTTGTACTACTAGAAAGGCATTACCATCCTACTGACAAACTGAGTGATGTCGCTTACTAGGGCAAGGAGGACATCATTACTAAGCTCGTAGCAAAAGGTCATTATTTAACAAAGGCAGCTGTACCATGCCAAATGCAGGGCAAAATTTTAGCAAGTTACTCAAGTTATACCTGCAGGAGATGCATCCATTTAAACTCATACATACGTGCATCTCACTTAGGAAAAGGAAAGGGCTATACATGTACTCAGGATTATTACTCCACTGCATTTTCAAGTGGTTGCATCAGTATAACTATTTCAGCACATGGTCCCAGCTCAGATAAAGAAGCACGCACACACACTCTTCCACAGTCTAGGCATAACAGATGAAAAGGGGAACAGAAAACAAAGTATAGAAATACGCATAATAACGAAGAGGAAGAGGTATGCAGAGCATTCATGGCTGCACAGTATGCACTAGCAATGTAAGAAAAACAAGAAGAGGAAACTATTAGCATGATGTAAAAAACTCCCTGACACTAACACACATGTGTGTGCAGGCATGTGTATTATACATAGCAAACCACATACAGAGATAAATACACTCAGTTTTATTTAGGTGTAAGTTAATAATGAATTATGGAACACATACATAAATGCTGTTACATTAACCACATTTAAATATTTGAAAATAACCACGTACATCCATATATGGATCGTATATATGCAGACATCATCCATATATAATGTGGCATGCTATGAACATACATATGCAACATTAAGTAGCTGCTTGTAACCATAAGCTAATTGGACATCAATGTAAATGCATTCAATTGCAGCTCTGAATCCTAGCTCTAAAGCACTTAATACCAACCTTCCTCTTAAGCTAATGTAACTGAAAATATCTCTAAACTTACCTAACATATTTAAAGCTATTTTCATGCCATCGAAGAATCAAAAATGTGAGCACCAAACATTCTTCAGAGTAAAACACAAAAGAACACAAACAGCAATCACCCAGTATCTGTGGGGGGGCAAAAGAAACAAATAAAAAAACCTGGTAATACACAATTTTCTCTTTAATTATTTATATATTTAGATCAATAGCTATTACAATTCAGATTAAATAACATAATGTTGTGCTTCAGAAATATAAAGGCTGGCAAGAATATTACTGGGACAGATAAACATTGATCTGATCCAGAATGGTTGTTCTTATGATGTCATTAAATTTAACACAAACCAAATTATTAACCCTACAGGCAATACCAAAGAGGCAGACATCACTATCAAAATTCACTCTAGCTTCTGTGGCTCTAGATTAAATTATTACTTTAGGGCTTATTTTTTACCTCATTTTGTATGAAAGCAGCATGCACTCCAATTTCTTTTTCTTCAGTAGAAGGCAACATGACAGATTCATCAGGCAAAATTTGTGTCCAATGCCCAGAAGAATTTTCATAAGAGGATGTATTTTCATGTTCTGTGCTTTCCCATAAAAAGACACATGCTGTAGGAGTAGTCAATAGTGCCTTTTTACCATCTCCGGATACATACAAGTACAATTTCATTAGACACTCTGGGGAAAAAAAACAAGAAAAACACAACAAACCAATGTGCCAGAATAGTTTCAGCTCATCTGCTAGATTTAGATTTAAAAAGAAAAGAGAAAGGAAATTTATTTTCTTCTCTATCATAAGAAATCCAGGCTGACACCTTAAGTATCTTTCACTTCCAGCTTCATCACTGATGGTAGACCTCGGGCAGCAGTAATGTCAGCTGGGACAGCCACTTCTATGTATCTTATGAATGATCTTTCTCATAAGACTCAATCATTAGAGTTGTTTCTTGAGTTCATCTTCCTTGAAATCCATTGTTCATGAAAACTATTAATAAAAGCCTAAGTGTTCTACAATCTGTTACCTTCAGCTCCTAAATGCATTACTGATCTTCCCTGAAGTCACCAAATTGCCTGTAAAACACTTTACAGCCTGGTATCAGTGAGATTATTCAATACATGACCATGTTTGACGCTTAAGTTTGCAAAAAAACATGTCTTTATATTCTTCTCTAGAGTTAGCATTTGTCATAAAAAGCTACCTACAGAATAAACTTCAGATTACACGTACAGGGTTTACATCAGATGTATGTCCACTCTAAGGTATTGATAACCTCGTAAAGAATGTTTTTTCTACAGTTAAAAACTAACCATTAAAAAATAAAATATTTACTGCATTTAAAAAAATAACTACCTACAGGTGGTGTCTAAATGCAAAAAACTAACATTCAAGTGACAAAAAAGATATCTGTCAAAGCTTAGCTAGCATATAAATTATACAAATGTAAACCAGTGTGAGAATACAGATTTTACTTGTGCAAGAACAATAACAGCAAAACCACTTTCACCCTATTCCATTTTTCAAAAGATTAACTGAAAAACACCTACCTTGTGCTGCTGCAACTACCTTCCTAGACTCTTCAATTGCTGGCACAATTTTCAAGCAGTCCTGATCTTTATTCCAAAGAAACAGCTCTCCTGTTTTAAGTACACCTGCCAACCATGCACCTGTGTTCATTGAGGAAGAGATGTTTTGAAGGATATTATTGTGAAGTATTCAAAATTACTTCCCTTCCTTCTTAGCCAGTTCTAAAGCTGACAGTGAACTGGCAGATCCTTCAGACATCCTATGATTCTAAACTATTACAACTACAAATAAAATACTATTCATTTATCATACATAAGATATTATACTTAACCATTTCTTGATGTTGTTAAAACAACTACATTTTTCAACAGTGACTGGAGCCGAGGGATTTTCTTCTTTGTCTTCCCTGATACCAGGTTAATTTCATTTATATGCTTATCATCTAGAAGAAAAACAGCCTCTTTTTCCTGTTGAAGAAAAAAAGTTGATTTTTTAAAACGTTATTTTCTATGTAAGCCTGCAAAATAATGCAGAGATAAAAAAATTTTAGGGAAAAATTATTACATAAAAAAAGAAAAGATGTTGCAGTTGCAACTACCATACTAACTTCATTCTTTGGCATATTTGCATTACATCATATCTAGCATTAACCTACACTGATGATGAATTTAGTTCACAGGTTTCAAACTATCTAATAATTTTGCAATCATTACTAGAAAGTTCTTTGAAGTACCTCAACTGACCTACCTGCCAAGAAATGGCAACACAACAACAAATTAGACACTAGTTACCTCATTTCACATTGTTTAATTTAGTGAGATTTTTGGCAGTGATTTCAATAGAAGAAGGAATTTGCCTTAAATTAAGCTACTTAAAACTCAAATCTTGTATTAGAAGAGAAGAAAAAAAAAAAGTTAAGTCTCATTTTACCAAAAAACCTTAAGAAAGCATGTCTTTCAACAGATGCAGGATGGAATGGGAATAAATGTTGGTTCATGATTTCCAACAATATACTGGAAAAAAGGGCTACGAAAAACTAGAAGCAACCATCAAAGCAACAATCTCATACAAGGGACAGATATTCTGGGGGGTTGGGGG